GAATAATGTTCCCAAAACAACACAGTTAAAAGCAAGTAATATTCTTAGAAGTAACATTTTAAAAGGTAGCACTGTTTTTCAATAAATTATATGGGTCCAGTAATATTTCTGAACTCTGCATATGTATTATTTAAAGATAAAAACGTCAACTATCTGGTGCATATGCCGGCCTCCACTCTTCGTGGTGAAATGTGTGTTCCCTGTGTGAGTACTTGATTATCTACCCCTTTTCATCAGGTGGCTCCACCCATAGTTCAGCTGCCCAGCCTTTGTATTCCGTCTTCGCGATAATCTCTACACAGTAATCTACACGGTAAATCTATAGATCGTCACACAAAATAACATTTACAACATGATTTATGCTCTTTTTTCCAGCTTGGCTCTACGATTGAATACAAGGAGGATATTATGAACTGCAAGAGCGCTGTCAAAATTTAGTTTCATTAAAAAATGGTTGTCCTTCCCCCGCACCTCCGATTAACACGGTGGGCTACGTATGGTGTGAAAGAAGTTCAAGATAAATAATTATGTAAAAAAAAACACTTTTTCACCAGGTGATTCTTTCTATTGACATTTCTACATTGAGCCTAAAGGTGGTTTGTTTATATAAGATACAATCCCAGGAAGTGTTAATATCCCTTCTGAGTTATTAAAAGGAGTACCTCCATCTCCTGATTAGAAGTGGGTGTTTGAAGGAGAAATTGCTCACAATTCCTTTTGAGCATGGAAAGTAAGATTTCCATGATATTGTGACGCTACGCTACATCGTACCATGAGATCCATGATAATCGTATCGTCCTTTTTGAAAATATCGTAATATCACGATTATAGTGGGTCGTTTAATATGTATATTAATAATTGACATAAAATATGTATGAAATAACAATAATTAGATTGCATATACTGCACATATTAATTTAGTGGCAGTTTGGTTGCTGTTATATTCCTGTAATCTGTGAAATTACTGATAATAGGAAGGCTGAGCTTTGGATATTAGGACGAATCACAGTCCAAAATTGTATTCCGTTTCATTGGTGCTCAACATGCTGGGGAATTCTTCTCAAGCATTCGGTTCCTGAAGACATTCTCGGAACTTGCATTTAAATACAAATTCTACAGTTTATTTTTCTAAAGTTGAAATGTTATGAATCACTAACTTTCAGAAATTGTCTCATTAAAAAATATCGCTTAGCATTTATATGTAATAGAAAAAAGATATAATTAATGTTAGCTATATATTTTTTTAACACTGAAATGTAGGGACATGTGTTCACCCGCTGATGCTCTAGCAGGTACACTCACATCATTACAAATAGATACAACATACACTTCTATTGTCCCGGTCACATAATAGGTCAGCCTCACCCACCATACATCTCAACAGCTGTGCAATCATTGAAAGACCAGGAAGTCACTGTTCGTCACGGCTACTTGCCCACACTATCCTCACAGTAAATGGTTAAACAAAAATAATGATGTAAACCAAATTTCCTTTAATAAATTTCCATGTATCGTACGGTATAATATATACATATACAGATGCCACAAATGCTCACCTTGGCCAAGAATAAAGCCTTTGCAATAATGAACCCCTAATCCGTAACATTCACTAACACGCACCTATCAGTGTGGTGAGTATAGTCAAGCATTTCCCATGACCGACATGGTTAATGGGATCGATAAAGGGATGCATAGTTATTTGTGACAATCTATATGTGTACACATTTATTCAAGTGAACAAATGGTTTGGTTCACTGGAAATTTTTTTTATTTAATAGTGTAATAGTGTACCATTGAATATAAAAACAATTCAGCCAAGTAGATATAATATACAGTATAGTTGGTCTACTATCCTGTTTAGATAAGGATAATGGTGATTAATTTCAAAATATCCAACACATTTCCCTTATTCAATTCCATCATTTTGATAACCCATGTTTACCAGTTTTACTTTACTGTAAATGCATTTCCGATCAAGATTTATAATTTCCCACCAAACATTAAGAATACATTTCGTCAAAAGCTTTGTTCATTCCCTCTAGATGTATATTTTTTTTTACACCAGATGTGTGTGTGCAGTTTCCGGGGGTTTATTTATCCTGAATATACTTTTGTTTTTGACAAAAGTATATTGGCTGTCATGGTGAAATGTGTATTTATTAGTTCACATATTTAACCTGGAATATCCCTTGTCTCATTTGCAAGGGTGTTTATGGTGTCACGTGACGCACATAATACAAACATGTCATGACATGTATATAAAAAACATATTTTTTTAGGCTACAACATACAGTGTAAAATTTTACAATGGCAAATAAATGTAGTGTGAAAGATATATTTAGCAAAATAAAAAAATCCCAAGTAGAAACCCAAGGAGCATTTTTACTTAATAAATATACGTAATTAACATTGCTTTGAAAAAAATGCAGACAATAGTATACATTAACAGGTGATGGCCTGACATTATAGTAATTTCATATAAAACATTGGAGTTATAATCATGCCACTATTTTTCAATTTACACCTATTCTTAAGCTCCTAAAACATCCGTCATATCTTAGCAAATAGCAACAATCTGAATCTATTGAAATGGTGTGGATTTTTTTTTATTCTGACTCCAAATCATCACAATTCATCAACTTTCAATGGGGGCGAATCGTTACAAGCCCAGTATATAGCAAGTATGAGGCTTTAGTGGGCTGGAAACAAGCCATTATTCACGTTATTTATCAATAGGCGTGGCACCTTTGGGTTTGTACAGATAAACTAAACAAAACAGATTTGTATAGTATATCACACTGAATACATCCTGACAAACTTGTTCCATGCTGAAAGACTGCTATTACATTGCCATGATATCTGGTGGGCATTGGAGGATCATCATGCGTCTGTGAAGAGGTCTGGACATAAGGGGGGGGGGGGGGGTGGGTAACAGGCATGTGCCACCACACCACACTAATTCCACAAACATAGGTTATAAGAACATTTCCAAACTAATTGTGTAGTGGATTCAACTGAGTCGCAAACGTACTCTTGGAGGCAACATATTTATTTAATACCAACACACGGAGTAACTACCCCTTAACAGAATAACAACCTATGGTGTTGACCACCAGGCTAACTACACTAATTACAACATAACTAGCTACTACGAACCGGACCACAACTCGGGTCCAGGTCCACGTGTTGGAGGCTCGTTAGAACGTTGAATGTAGATGAAGGCTTCTTTAGGATGAACAACAATGCTGGCCCCTCTGGGGGACCCGCTTATATTCTCTGCGGCATGGCTGGCTCCACCCTTGGCAAACAATCACCTTCCAGAATCCTCGAGCAGGATCTGGCCCCGGACCACGTGACCACCCCTAGCCCCCACTTGGGGCCCCTTTTGTAGACTTAACCGGTCACGTGTCCTTTCAGGTCAACCAGAGTGCAATGGCCTTTAGTAACCCTGGTACACCCACACCCTATCTTGTAGGACTGGCACTGCACGTCAAGCGTGGTCCCACCGAGCACTATCAACCAGCGCTGACTGAGCCCCTCTAGGGCCGGTACTACACCCACATCATCGTGGTGTCCGCGATGTCGTTACACCGCACGCCGTGCCTCTCGAGGGCCGGCACAGCACAGTGACATCCCACGATGTCACTACAAATGTAATAAGATGATGTCATTACCATGAATAATTATCACAAAAAATAGTATACCAGTCATTGTCACAGTACAGCGCCTAGAAGATGCCATGATGAGCTCTCTCTAATGTAACTTCAACATGTGTCTTTGTTTTAAGACCACACCGTTCACTTCACCGGGATTATAATAAAAAAAAACATGTTACCAGCCAAGACCCGAAGCGAACTGGCCACAAATGATAGCTCAACAAAGTGGCTTATCGGGTGGGAATTTACATTAGTCAAATACTCGAACAAAAAATATAATTTGAGTAATATACCATTTTCTAATGATGTTTTCTTCTCTACGGTGTGCTGTGATTTATGCATAATTTTATAGTTTTGTTCCTGATTCGAACTGTTCGTGACTGCATATAATTCAGCACGATTAGGTTTTTTTTTTTATCAAAATCTATTCACTGTTCCAAAATGCATTTTCTGTACTTGAATGCAAATTCGATTTTATTCTTGTGTATGGCAGTATGTCAAGGAGCTTAATGCCAATGCCCAGGTCTGCTAGCCACGAGAGGGCTTCAGGAGAGAATGTGTAGTTTTGCTATTCCTCCTTTGAAGGACGACAGTGGTTTGCTATATGGGCCGTAGTTTGGGTTGCATGGCCACAATCGTACTGCAGCTTGTCTTTTATTTTCCATTCAGGAAGGAGATGTGCACATGGGAGTGTTGATGTTCTGATGGGGTTGATGGTTCACCATTGTCTT